AATGTGACCTTTTAATTAAATTTAGTGCATTACAAGTCTATTGTTTTTATATAAAAATAATATGAAGTAGTTCTAAAGAGTAGTATCAAGTTTTATCTAATAATTATATGATAAATTTACCTTAATTCTCATTTCATTATATAATATAAGCTTACCAAATATAAGTAATTCGCATTAACATTATACTTTTTTGCGTTCAATAGATTGTGCATTAAATCAAAGGCTATGATTTATAGCACAAATATGATCTCAATTGCTTATAGAAAATTTTAATCATTTAATTGTAAAATAATATTTGTACAAATTTAGTATAATTTAGTAAATTTAGTTAATTAATTGCTTGTAGGGTTAAACAATGTCATATTTGTCAACGAAAATGTAAATTTACAATTTAGTGCATTGCTAGTCCACTAGTATTTTATGATTAAAACATTATTATTATTATTATTAAGATATTTAACAATGCTTAACTAAAATTAAATTAAGTTAATAACTATCAGTAATAATTTTTCTAATCTATCAAAATGCAACATGAGCTTGTCAAGGTGATTTTATTTACACTAAAGCTCTTAAAAGTTCCAAGTTCAGTTTTAATGCATAAATGGTCAAATATTGCAAATAAAAAATTTAATTATCTTTTTAATTTGTAAAAATAATTATAATTCCAATTATAATAAAAATTTATTTAAGTGAGAATTAAAATAAGAACGCTTTAAGCCATAAATAACCTACAACATTTATAGTGAGATTCTTAATTTTGTTATGACTTTTGGTATTTTTATTTTATTGGTATAAAATATTAAGACATGTGTTGCTAATAGAGTGAACAAATCGTCCGTCTGAGGTGTCGGCCATAAACTGAGACAAATGGTAATTTAATTATATACTTTACAAGCTTTCTAAATCAAACTATTATTATTTTATTATTTGTAATTTATCAAATAAACTGTATATATAATTAAATAAATAATTTATATATGTATTAAATATTTAAATTGACAAAAACATGACGTTGTAATAGTAACAAGCTTGCTTAATTACATTAATGTGTTTAAAACACCCGCGTTGTATACGAGTCCGCCGTCGACCACAACATTAGCGCCGGTAATAAAGTGGGCGTCAGTGGAGGCCAGGAATGCGACCGCACGAGCGATGTCTAGGGGCTCGCCATTCCTTCCCAATGGCGCCGATTTTTGGGCCAACACTTCCAAAGGACTCGGAGGGTCTCTGCCATGAATGACACCCGGACTGAGCCAATCAATGTAAGGGTTAGAAACGAGTGAACGAAAGTTTGATTAAATACTTACTTAATAGTATTGACACGAATACCTTTGGGCCCCAATTCCAGGGCTAATATTTTGGTCAACATATCCAGACCTGCTTTGGCCGTTGGGTAAGCTAGTGAGAAATTTAACTAGTGTAAAAATAAACAAATTGCATATAAATACATTATTTAAGGCTAAATTTTAAGTTATTAAGTTTTTAAATTATTATATCTATTATTCTTATTTATACATGTTATTTTGTTTAAACATATTATTAATAAATTATTATTTTAAAATTATTTGTAATTTTACATTATATAAAATTATAAACTAGTATAAGATTTAGTGATTGATTATATTAAAGTATTTCAATTAAATTAAATAAAATGGAAGTAAACTAAAAACAATTGTAGTCATCAAAGTAAATAACATACCGGTGCTATTGCGAGAATACTAGAAATATCAATAATAGTTCCGTTAGTCTTCTCCAGATGTGGAACCGATCGGTGGATGAGTTCTACGACAGCGCGTAAATCAACGGCAAATACTTGATCCCAAACTGATAACAGATCTGATTGAGTGATGTTTGTCTTTGGATATATACCGGCGTTATTGACTAATACATCAATTTTGCCAAACGTTTTGACCGTAGAATCGATTAAATTGTTTATATCAGAGGTTTTGGTCAAATCTCCCACAACTTCTAATGGCTGTCAGAAAATTATCATTTTTATTAAAAATTAATTGTATTTTTAAATATTAAATCTTATTAAATATACCTTTAATTTTAGAGGTGACAACTCCTGGACCTCTTTGGCCACTCGTTGAACGTCCTGTGCTTTCCTTCCGGTGACCACAACATTAGCCCCTAATATTGAGAACAGTTTAACGATTCCCTCTCCGATGCCCGACGAGGAACCGGTCACTACAACTACAGAACCCGTAAAGTTCCGGGACTTTGCGACCGCCTTATAGTCTTCTATACTATAGTCTGCGCTCACAATACAAACCAATCCAAACATTAATACTATAAGTAATTTCATATTTAATAATAAATTTAAAACTGATATTTAGTAGAATAAAATTATTAATAGTTTTATTATATCATGTACTGTATAAGTCATTTAGTCTTTATATAGTCTAAAACCTATGAACATTTGCACTAATTATGATCCTTAATTTTATCAATTGTATCTCAATTAAACCTATTTATTTATTTATTTATTAAAGTAAAGTATTATTTACTTTACATTATTACTAATTAGTTAATTAACTATAACCTATTTAAGTAATGCACATTTTTCATATGATAACAATAGATCTTGATTCTTAAAAGGAGTAACACCATTTAATACAGGATTCATAAATAATAATTTATAATACAGAAGTTGTCTATCAATACATGATAAAATTGTTGAGAGTATATATTTTTAAAAAATTAGAATACAATAATATCTTAATTTACATAATTAGGTGTTATTATAATTATTATTATTATAATATATGTATTGGTTATATAAATTTAAACAGAATTCAGTTTTTAGATAGTAGCTGAGTTCTAGAATTAGAATTTTTTTAATAGAATTCAGTTTTTATTACCAAGATTTAAAATTACATGATATATTTTTTAGTTTATTAATAAATGTACTTTAGTTACTGCAACCTAAAAAAATGTATCTAACCATATAAAATATATTACTGAACTCCATAAGGAGTGTGCTTTTATTTATAAAATATAAATATAAATTGCAAACTAAAATGTTTTCTTAGGACAAACTCCTTTATTTGAATTATAAGATTATAATTCGATCCTATCAAGGTTAAAATTAATTTGCACTATAAAAGTGTACTAAAACAGTACCTGCGCTAAGTTTCTGATTAATAATACCCCGAAGTTTTATTTTTAATTAAAATTCAAATATAGTTTATAGGATCGTGTGGCCCCTCCCTCCCCTCACTTATAATTTTTTGCCATGCTTAATGCAAGGACATGTCTCAACTTATTTTTAACGTTACTTTGAATGGTTAAACACAATCATTCAGAGGCCTCCGCACACCAGGTATTCACATATGCTGTACACACATAATCGGGGGACAGTTTGCCCCTATGCATTTTTATAAAGTATTACAATTGGATTTTAATTAATAAGCACTGCATTTGATAATAAAAAGTTTAACAGTAACTATAAATAATTTTAAACTATTATTTCTGTTATTATGCTAAAAAATATTTTTCACAAGTTAAATTTGTTACAAAATTATTATCATTTTAATTAAATATTTATATCAACAGTAAAATTTATGTTTATGTAGTTTATATTTTCAAAAATTATATTGTTTAAAGTAATCATTTATAATTAAATAATTTTATAAATTTAACATAAACTTAATCTAAACAATTATTATAACAATACTTATTTTATATTTACTAAACTAAATTTTACATTGTATTAAAAACACCCAAATTGTATACGAGTCCGCCGTCGACCACTATATTAGCGCCGGTAATAAAGTGGGCGTCAGTGGAGGCCAGGAATGCGACCGCACGGGCGATGTCTAGGGGTTGACCCACTCTTCCCAATGGCGTGTATTTCGCGGCCAACTTTTCCAATGGGCTAGGAGGTTCTGTTACATGTGTTGTACCCGGACTAAGAAATAAATATAGATGAGTTAGTGAGTGACAGAGTGAGAGTGAGTGTTTGATAGAGAGAGAGAGAGAGAGAGAGAGAGAGAGAGAGAAAATATTATAATTAAAATAAAACAACATACCTAACAGCATTGACACGAATACCTTTGGGCCCCAATTCCAGAGCCAATATTTCGGTCAACATATTTATACCCGCTTTAGCGGCTGGCAAAGCCGGTCCAGCCATATTAATCTAGAAAAAATGTCACCAATATTTAATTGTAATTTCAACATGGTAATAAATATGATTATAATCAGCGCATTCCAAAAGGCCAGTTTGAGGCAAATTTTATAAAAAATTGTATACATTATACATACACTATTCATAGTCTATTCATATTTTGGAATGGCCTGATTATAATGTTTTGTAAATACTTTTTATGCAAATTTAAATTAGACGTAGAACTGAATGATAATTGAAATTGAAATTTAAATACAGTGTTTTTATAAAATTACTGTTATTAAATCAGACAATTAGTTTAGTATTAAAACTATTATTATAAACAATTATAAGTAAATACCGGTGCGATTGATGCTATGCCAGAAATATCAATAATAGTTCCGTTAGTCTTCTCCAGATGTGGAACTGATCGGTGGATGAGTTCTACGACAGCGCGTAAATCGACGGCAAATACTTGATCCCAAGCCGACAATATGTCCGGTGAAGTAATGTTTGCGAGTTTATATATACCGGCGTTATTGATCAATACATCTAATCGGCCAAACGTTTTGACCGTAGAATCGATTAAATTGTTTACATCAGAGGTTTTGGTCAAATCTCCCACAACTTCTAATGGCTGTTAGAAAATGTTTGTTTTTATTAGTAACTTAATTTTTAGATAATTATATTTTTTTTAAATACCTTCAGTTTGAGTGGTGACAACTCCTGGACCTCTTTGGCCACTCGTTGAACTTTAGTGGCAGTCGTTCCACAGACCACAACATTAGCCCCTAATATTGAGAACAGTTTAACGATTCCCTCTCCGATGCCCGACGAGGAACCGGTCACTACAACCACTTTTCCCGTGAAGTCCCGCGACTTTGCGACCGCCTTATAGTCCTCTATAGGATAGTCTGCGCTCACAATACAAACCAATCCACACATCAATGCTATTAAGAATTTCATAATTATTTTATAATTGGTATTTAATTATAAAATATAAAATTGAAAATTAATCTAAATTTTTATTAATTTTTGTTGAATGAATTCACTGATTTATATAGTTGCAAATTGTGCACTAAATAAATCAATTTTAGCTTTATTCTTTTAAATGTTACACACATACTTTCAGATTAGATTTAGTACAATATTAGTGTATATTTTATCTTAATATAATGGATAAGGCATTTTCTGTGCTTACATATTTATTGCCAATTATTCAATTTAAGATTAATATAATTTATTGAGGAAGCTCTACATGTATTTAAGCTAAAACTAATTGCATTTTAAATTTATCGATTATGCACTTTAATTCATTAGGGAAATGACAAATTAAGATATATATTTATTTGACAAATAATTTAATCCCAATTTTTTATGTAAATATATTCTTGGAATTATTAATTACCGGTATTTATATATTTTAAATGACCAAAAATTGTATTAAGCTGATAAACAAATAACCCCCGAATGGACATAATGTCAGGCAAACAATACTAAAGATTTTACAATAAGTAGACTAACCATAATACGATTTAATTAATAACTTTGCTATTGTTTTAGTGTTGTTAATTAATCTGTCAATTAAATTGTTTATTGCATTCATAAATTCTATACTAACAACATTTTAATAATGATTACTTATTTATTTCTTATTTATTTATATTTAATTTTATTTAAAATGTGAGGTATATTCATAAATGTTGCATAAATTAAACAAAATAATTATTATTAATATGTTCATGTATAATTTTACAACAAAATATAATATAAACATTATGAAATGATTATTTAATTGTTGTATTTTATTATTAAAACATTTTATTACTTATTAATAAAAAACGGTTAATTATACGTATTTTTATGTTACACTTACACTGTTTAAAAAACAATTATTTTTACTAAAATTGCTCTAATTCTTACATTAAACTTAATATTAAATTAAAGCATCTATGTTAAATTGCGATAGGAGTTAGTATGGGTGAGTATTTAATTTATAATACACTGCTGAATTGAGAATAGCTAACATTTTAAGTGTTATAAAAACTATCTGTGTAAGTTATTGTAAAGTACATTACTTGATACTGTACATTACAAAATTAATTAGAAATGTACCATATTGTCATAATAATAGGTTTGGGTTCTAAGGGTTTTATGGTTTTAGTTCATGTTGATAAATATAATAAATAATTTTATAAATAATTGACTTTTTTTTAGTAAATAATCTTTTAATCGCTTATATTAATAAAGTTATTTGTTTTCAAATTACGGCGAGTTTACAATACATTCATAGCTCCGGCGTTAAAAATACATCCGCCCTCTACTAAAATATTAGCGCCGGTAATAAAGTCGGCGTCAGTAGAGGCCAGGAATGCGACCGCACGGGCGATGTCTAGGGGTTGACCCACTCTTCCCAATGGCGTCCCTTTTGCGGCCAACTTTTCATATGGGTTTGGAGTTTCACTTACGTGAACAAAACCAGGACTATTGAAAACAATATAAAGGTGATTTAAGCGAGATTATTTACTAAAAAAAAGTCAATTATTTATAAAATTATTTATTATATTTATCAACATGAACTAAAACCATAAAACCCTTAGAACCCAAACCTATTATTA